GGTCAGCTGATTACAGCAGGCAACGGGGGAAAAGCAGGCACATAGGAGGGTCAGAGGTACAACAGGAGCAGTCAGGAAAATAAATTGGACATGGTCATACAGCAAATAAACTGTGTGTCAGGGCTGTGAATAAAATCCAGAAGTCCTGATTCCTTGTCTCTCTGCTCTATTGCCCCAGTCCTAACCAGATCCTCTCTCAAAATGACTTTCTAATATAGACAGTCCGGGAGACTGAAACATTTTTCCTATCTACAAAACAAATGTAGCAAAAGGTATATAAAGGTTTCCTGCACACAGCCGCTCCACCATTTATGTTATGGACGGAAAGACTTTGTTAATAAATATTGTACATTTCCTCCAGATCAGCAATCAGAATGTCTGAGACTGCAGAATTTGTCATTTGTCTGCTTAAGAATTGCTGTCAGGGTATTTTCAAGAAATATTCAAACTTAAATCTGAGTCACCTTTTACAGGGGTGTTTCCTTCAAGTTCTGCCATCAGTCAGTCTGTGTTTGCTAGATGTTGGGGGTATTAGAGGAGTTATAAAAGCAGAAAACCTTTTCAAGCACAACATTTATAAATATTCAGTATTGGTCAAGACTTAGATCACTTTTCTGTTTCAGTAAAATAATAAAAATCTCATATTCAGACCAGAGAGAAAATAGCCAAGGAAAGTATGAAGGTTGATACTCATGAAATTTTCTATATAGAAGAGCTACATAATCTAGAGGAGTAGATATTATAAAGACTTCAAATTGTGAAATTGTTTCTAATTTCTAATTGTAAACATGCACTGTTTACCACAGGATGTGCACTGTGGTTTTTCCAAACAGCTTTTTAGCAAACCAATTAAGCAGCTGGTCTTATCTAAGACTTAAAAGTGCCAAACAAAAAACATTTAGGATGGGCTCCAAATTACTGAAGTCAAGCCATTTCAAAGTGTATTAATCAGGTTTCCTAATAACACATCAGTCACTGAATACAAGTGCTCAGTTTTAATTTAAGGCTTTATCAGCCATTTGGAACATGGAGCCCATGGGTCAGGTCTTTAGTGGTGCAAATCAGAGCAGTTCTCCTGTAATCCACAATTATACAAGTTCAGAACGGGTCTAAATATTTAAGATGCCTGTTTTAAACTACCTGATTGTATTTGTATTTCGGTGAGATATCTGTATACGTATTAACTGAAGAGAGTTTCTTAGTCTAGAAAGTTTGCTTCATAAAATGTAGGTTTTTCTTCCCCTTTGGCAAGTATTGTCTTCCGTGGTAGAGGCTTCCCTCTAGTGGACACTTTCTCTGATGTTTTATTTGGAAGGTTTTAGTAATTTAGTGGAACAGTTGTACAATACATCCAATATCATGTATTTGCTTTCTGATTTAAAATAATTAAAAGGAAATGCCTGACAGGACTTAATTAGTGCCTATACAATGTTTCTTGAGGGCCTTTAAAATTGTTGCAGCGGTCTCAAGACCAGTTACTTCAAACTGTAATACAATGTAAAACTTTAACAAACTTAGGTACGTAAACAGGTATGTAAACAGCAAAATCATGTCCTGAAAAAACTAATTATTGATTCAGTAGTTCAGGGAAGAGATAGGACAAGAGCAGTGTTGTTCTGTATTGACTGGCTGCTGTTTCACACAGATATCAGTGCTGATCTAATTAATCTCCAGTCTGTTTGTATGGGCTACGCTTACTGTCTCTGTCAGTATCCTGTTATTTAGAGGAGGGCAATAGATTGATACCCAACTTGCTTGGTGCACTGGTTTCCTCAAAACATTTAACTTTAAAAAGATGCACTTGGGGCTCCTATATGGAACAAACACATACAGACTCGAACTTTTTTGTTCTTTCCTATGGGAGTATGATCACATAATTTACAACTGAAAAACCATCTAAGGATGCCAAATGGCTACATTCTATTTCAATTATTCAGCAATGACAAAGGGCTCTCTTAGCACGAACCTTTCACCCGTGATTTTTTCTGTCTTCAGAATGTGACAATAAAAACATTCATTGTAGCAGTAACTTTCATAATACAAATCTCAGCCCACTAGTAATTGAGACCACTAACACATTTATTGGATTTTAAAGTACTTGCCAGGTGATAGTGGTATGTGGTTACTATTACGGTTCTATGGAATTCACTGAGAATCCTAAATTCATTCAAACAAATATGATCTGGGAAGTAGTTTTCTGAGTTTCAGACAGAGTAAGCAGAGGCTTCTTGAACCAGCTTAAAGTTTAATGAAAGTGTATGTTTTTCCCAACACTAAATTTTTCTATTCCAAGTCTCCCAGAGTTCCAAAATCTACTTTTTTTCCCCACATGGGCTGTTGGCCTGACTATTTCTCATGAATCCTTTCATAAAATTTTGGAGGCCACACAGTAGCCTGTCTGTCATTTTCCATCTATGGGGATTTTAGTAGAATACACCTATTTTCCCAGTTCAATTAGAGGAATCTCATTCCAGGCGAACAGATGTCCACATCACGAAGCAATATCACAACAGTCTCTTTTGTTGTCAGTTTCTCTAAAGAGAAAACAGTACTTGTTAAGAAAATTTAATAATAACTATATAATACATGCATATATATGTATGCTCCCCTTATGAATGAAATTATTCTGCTCATTTGTAGCTCAGACAATACTCTCAATGCAGTAAAAACTCAGAAATAAAGTCAGTGGGAGGGATTTTCTGCAATTCTTTTCTGAAACAGAATTAAACAGGACTTTAGAACTGGGCACAGTTCAAATCAGATCAAACAGTATGGTGCCTAAAGGAGACACAAAGATTTGCAAGGTCCAGCGTATAATTTATTAAAATGTGAGTAATGTGGAATCAAACTTGCCTCAAGTAATGGCTTCAGGGATTTATAAAAGTAATTTACATAACAGAGGTGGTCTTCTAATAGACAGAACCAAAGCATACATATTGCAGTTGAGAATATTTTAAGGTGGCCTGTTCAGAGAGAAGGCTGCCTAGTATGTGTGATCTGCAGTTAAGGTTTCCCTATAGAGAATAAGCACGCAAAAAACAACAGAATATAGAGAAGAACAGAGCATTTAAAAAAAGGGCAGAGCTAAGCTGAGTGCTACAAATCATATCAGATATGCACACAATATTTATTTCTTCACTGTAATTTGAGTAACTGTGCTTAGTTAGACTGCTGGAAATTGTAAACTGAGATAGTGCCAATAATTAGCCCCTTCATTTGAACGAGGTTTAAAACAAGTAGTCTCACCCATACTGTTGCTTTTAGCAAAACTACTCTAAATTCTGTTTAAATGTGGAAAACTACAAGAGAATCAACAAACAAATGTGAAACCTACACGTCTTTTTTTCCTGCAAATAAATAGAAAAAAAATTATTTAAATCCTAGAACCAGTCATATAAAGCTGTAGGTGTGATACATGGGCAATAGGTATGAGCGATATCGCAGCACTTCGTATTCTATTATGGCATCATCCTCTCAGGGCTCTCTAGAGCACCAACATCCTTTCAGGACAGCTAAATTACACTGGGTTGAAAAGCTCAGGAGAGGGCAAACATACAGACTAGTCTGGGAGTCCCCTCCTTTTCTTTCTCTCGCTTTATCCACAAGCACTTATAAAGGCAATGTATGTTTGCATGAGTTCCTCAGCAGTGCTGCTGTTCACCTTCATTTTGGCACCTGAGAATAAGGAAGGGAGAGTATCTCTGCTCAAACAATAGCCATCACTGTTTACATGTATGGGTTTTGTTAATGTTTCCTTTCAAAGGAGGATTTTGTTGAGGAAATTCTCCAGGTTTTTGAACACAAGTTACTACCAACTAGAAAGCAGGGCCTTAAACTAGGAATTAGAAAAGCAAGACTTTTCACAAGATAGGGAGCACACATATGTAAGGTAGGGAATATGATAGGGAATTTATAGAAGGAAGGTATTGCTAGCTGCATAAAATAGGGGCCAAGTAGCCTCAAGGCATTAATAGTTCCCAAATAGTACTAGTATTTTACATATCACTGAAAGTTGTGGATATGCCCATTAATCCACTTGGAAGAGCATTTCTGCATTATCCCAAGTGTTATCAGCCATGATCTGAAGAGCATCTGTAAGATTACAAAGAAACAAGAAAAATCTTCTTTCATTAATGTGCCCTCTCCCCAAGAAAACACTAAACTAGTTGAATTAATAAAATGTACCCAATCTGGTAAGAACGTTCTGTAACATGTTGTGTGCAAGCTGGCTTTAGCTCATTTTGTCAGAGGATTAATTTTTAGAAATGTAAGACTTTCATGTTAATCCCAGATAATAGTGCAGTTTGGTACACTAAAATAATCAGATTAGAGTGAATGTCAACGCAATTTGATTTTTAATTATGTGGAGCATGTTACTGGAACTATCACCCCCTCATTTTATGAAAGGATGACCTGGAAGAATGTCAGACAGGGTTCACCATGTCTCAAGAGCTGCAGACCTCTGCTTCAAGTCATCTTTAAAAATATGGCTTTGTTTATTCAAATACTGATTTTTGACAGCAAGTTAGCACAACAATTTTAAAAATATGTGGACTTTATGAGAGCAATGGATGTGCAAATATTGTGTAAGAAACTGGTATATAAAATTACCTTCTACACATATACCACTGAATTACCATCTGCTACAACCAAATACCTGATTTATATTTTCAATAAAAAACCCACCACCCTACCTAGTCCTTACCACTAATTTGATTCATGTGCTTCCTTTCTGCATCTCCCTTGTTCCCTGTACCTTTACTCTCATTGGTTGCAGCAGGGCTAATGCCTATTTTATTTCTGGTTAATCTGATTAAGTAAGAACCTGGGATTGTGATGTCAGTGCATTAGTAGAAGGAAGTAATGCTTCCTGCAGGAAGGATGGCAATTTTGACCTTTTAGAAGCAGGTCATGATCTGACTGCAAGACGAAAATAGAGCAAGACAAACTGCAGTAATAATACCAACCCATTCTCCAGTAGCATAGTTCAAAGTAAGATTATGGCTCATGGACTGCAGGTAAGAAAGCATAATGCACTTATACTTGGTTATTTGATTGAAGGGAGCTTTGGGTGTGGGGGAGAGGTTAGCTTCAGCAAAAATAGTAGAACATTAGAAAAACTGACTAATGAAAGGCCTTGCTACTTATATTTACTCAGGAGAAAAACTGGCTTTTGGAAGAAAGGCATCTTAATAGACCTGATTTTTTTACAAACTTATGGCATTATTTATTTGACTTTAATATAACCATATTCATATTCTTTCATTCTGTGTTGATGAAATAATACTTATTTATGAATCTCTTTATTGTGTGTAATTGCTGTAGCTCATTTTGTTGTTTTTCCCCCCTTAAACTCAGAAACCTACATCAGTAAGTGAACGACAGATGAGACCAAATCTAAATTAAACAACTAATTGCTCAAGTTATAAGCTTGTGATTTAAAAATTTAATGACTTTGTGTGATAGTTTAGTAGATTGCTTTATTATAATGGGATGCTGCTGTATTATTTAGCATGTGCCACAATACAAATGCTTTTATGAGCCTGTAAGGTATATGCAGCATGTTGCTATGGTGATGTGGTGCTCAAACTGATGCAATCCTTAAGGTTCTGTTCATGACCCTTTCAGCAGACCTTAAATAGTGCTTCACACGTAGCAACAAAGAAGATATTAATGTAGCAGACATTGTTTGCACGAAATAGTCTCAATGAGCATAGTTGTGAACCACGTAAAAGGTACTAAACTGCACTGCTGGGGTAGCTATAAGCAGTAATCACTATGCACACCTGTATGCTTCAAGATTAGCTTTATTCAATAGCTACGTTAACATGGACAGAGCTTATCCCTCACTTGAGCTGAACCAGTTGTGATGCCTCTCATCAAATGCAGCAGGAAGCTAAATTCATTGGCAACAAGGCCGAATTTTAACTCACTGTGCAGATGAAAGCCCAACTGCAAAAGCAAATTGTAAGGCTGAAGTCCATTAAATATGGCAATCGGTATCATGATTGGGCAAAAGAAAAACTGCTCCAGTCACAGGTAGCATAGTCGTTGCATTTCAGTTGCAGTTATGCAGAATGCAATAGAGACGGGGATCTTGGAGGGGAGCGCGGGGGGGAGAGGGATACAAAACCAAATAACCTACCCTACAGCAATTTTTAAACTGTTTCTCATGTCACTGACTAACCTTAAAGGTGCTTTTTCTGTACTCCAAATGAAAATGATGCTTATCTGTTCCAGTAGTCTCAAATAAACACTTATAACTTTGACCAATGCTTCTAATTATGTCCTCTTGTCACTGTTTCTTGTTGACAGAATCCCATATCCTGCATGGGTATTCTGTCTGTCACCACCAGCAACCTCACACAGGCAGAAATTAGCCCATTTCAAACTGGCCAACTGGGTTAATATAACACTCAAACAACAATAAGCAGTTCTGCACTGCATTAAAGTCTGCTTATAGATGCTACTATCTAGCCTCATGTACAGCTGGTATCAGTGTAACCGTCAGTATCTCTTCCAAGATTAATAAAGCACAAACTTAATTTGAAAACAGTCCTTCACCCCAGCTTTCACTTTGCTGACTTCAGCCATGAAGAAAATAGTAACTAACCAGACAAAATAGTACTGCTGACACTCTAAACAGTGCTCAACTGCAAGGCTATTCTGTAAGTTTAACTTGGAACACCAAGGCCTATCAATTTTGAGTACTTGCAGAATACGGTTAGTTCAGCCAGAATGAGATTTTACATGCATTGCCTTGTACTATGATAATCTGTTCTTGGAAATTCTTGTTAACACCTGTCTCTCTAGTTTTTATCTTTAAAAAAAGTGGGTTATTTGTGGCCAATTTAAAATAAATGGCAGTAATTGATTATCTTATTTTTGTGGCTGCTCTGAGTTTTGCAAGTAATAACCTACTCTTGTTCCCTACAGTCCATTTTTCCTTTCTTCCTAAGCACTCATCTCTCCTATGCCAAAAAAGGAGAATTAAAAACAATTCATCTGTCTAAAGAGTTTGCAGGTGTTAACTCGTTTGTTAGCAATGCTTTATGCTATTATTGCCTAGTTCATAGATCTGTGCCATTAGTGCCCTGGTTTCAGCTGGGATACAGTTAATTTCCTTCCTAGTAGCTGGTACAATGCTGTGTTTTGGATTTAGTATGAGAACAATGTTGGTAACACACCAATGTTTTAGTTGTTGCTAAGCAGTGCTTACACTAGTCAAGGACTTTTCAGCTTCCCATGCTCTGCCGACTGAGAAGGCTGGAGGTGCACAAGAAGCTGGGAGGGGGCACAGCCAGGACAGCTGACCCAAACTGGCCAAAGGGACATTCCATACCATGGGACGTCAGGCTCAGCATATAAACAAGGGGAAAGCTGGCCGGGGGGCGGTGACCGCTGCTCGGGAACTGGCTGGGCATCAGTCAGTGGGTGGTGAGCAACTGCATTGTGCATCACTTATTTTGTATATTCTTTTATCATTATTTTTTTTCCCCCTTTTTTTTTTTTCCGATTCTCTCCCCATCCCACCAGTGGGGAGGGAGTGAGCAAAGAGCTGTGTGGTGTTTAGCTGCCTGCCGGGTTAAACCACAACAATTAGCAAGCTACCAAATCCTTGGTTTTGAGGCCTGTTTAGTAAAATCAAAGGATGTTTCACAGTTGGTACAGGGGTGTTACACATGCTAAGTCTGAGGGAAGAAGATTTACAGTCTCAGCAAAAATACTGAGTAAAACCACTCCTTTAAAACTTTGCCTTCTACTGAAACAGTTATCTACTTCATTGTTCAGTAAACAGACTATGTGCTGTTAGGAACATATGCTTCACCAAAGAAATCTGCATCATGCTGCACTCTTATATTTTGAATTATACTGTATTGAGTTCTGTTGTATGCAACTGGTGTGTAGTTAACCTATTTTGCACTAGTGAAGCTTTGAGCCAGCTTTGAATTTTTCTTTCAATTAGTTCTGTATTTTTCAACAATAACAGGGCAACATTAGATGTGACAATCTCACTAATCTGAGTTTTTTTCTTAACTTATTTCTAATACTTATATATTAGCCCTCTTAGTCACAGTTGTTTCTATCTCATATTTTTTCTTGCCTGCTTTTGTACCTCCACTTCATAAATGAACAAAGACCAAAGCATCCACTATGATCTTGAAGGGTGGTAGAATCCAAAGATATAGATCTGTTTGGGGTCAGACATTCCATCAGAAGAGAAACCCAAATGTGTAGCCCAAATGAGAATATGTAACTTCTAGACATCCAGATACCTCTGGGTGCAACAGCCTGGAGCCAGAGTCTTGAAAAAAAGAACTGTAATTCTAAAGCCTGATGGCAAAAGGGTTAAGGCCCTGATCTGTGGGAAGTAGCTATGGCCTCTCCCCAGCCATGCTGAGGAGCAATCTGCTAGCAGGGCAAACAGCACAATGAGCTGAACTGCAGCTCAGCAGGTCTTTGGTTCCCACCTATGGGCACCCTCCGCAGCTTCTCTGCTTCCCACTACCATCTCAAAGCTTCTCCTTTGGGGTAAGTCATCTCCCCTGTCCCCTGAGACAGCTGATGGTTGGTATGTGCTTACCTCTGTCAAAAGTTCAGTTGTGTATTCACATTTAGGAGACTTTTTTTTCTCTTTTACACAATGGAAAATGATGGTCAAGGTAGTGCAGCATCCTGAAGTCACCTGCTGACTGGAGATCAAGCTGTAATCCCAATCTATGTGCCTTAAATTTTAATTCTTACTTGTCTACCACATGAGCAAGCTACTGCGCTCTGCAGAAAGGGAAATGGAGAATACAAGGAGGGGGGTTGTTGTTGTTGTTTTGGGGTTTTTTGTGAGTTGATGATGGTTGAGAATTTCTCTTATAATGACTAGGGCGAAGTAATTATCCATTCACATCTCAGACAAGCATACTAGCTACTGAATTATCAGACAGATTGTGAATTGTTCTATCAGAAGGTTCAAAAACTCTCAGATATATTTTTATTTTGACACATTATTGGGGGGTGTGTGTGGAGAGGAGTCTTTCTCTGCATTATCAGAGACTGGAAGATGTTTTCCTGTGTGGCTCTGTCTTTACTCTTAGACCTTTTTCCCTTTCACTTGCAGATAAGAGATGAAGAAAGTGGCTATAATAAAAATCTATTTTGCATTCCTAAGCATTATGAAGAAGATTTAGAAAGAGTCTTCATTCCTCATGGACTCATCCTGGACAGGTATGAGGGTAATCAACAAAGAGTAGTGATAGTGATGCCAGTGATCCATTTCCCTCCAAATGAGAAGACTGATGCTCTACCCTGCATAGCCCATGAGAAACATGGAAACCCTGCAGCTATAACATTTGTGTTCTGGAGATTAATACAAGAGGAGTTTTATGGAGAGGATTCCTCTACAACCCCAGTTAAGTTTCCATGTTATCTCGCATATATTTAAGCTTTCCTCTCCTGCATTGTTTAGATATATGGATTAAATCAACGGTATGTATAGTGGAATAGGCATCTTGTGAACTGCAAGTATGTAACTAACTTTCCTATGTCTTAATGTGGTTATAAAAACTTAACAGCAAGATCAGAATTTTAACTTGGACTTTGCTTAATATATGGACAAACAAATATGATATGCAAAACACTTTAAAGGATTTGTTTTTTTCCTTCCAGGACAGAACGTTTGGCTAGAGATATCATGCAAGATATGGGAAGCCATCACATTGTTGCACTCTGTGTCCTTAAAGGAGGCTATAAATTCTTTGCTGATTTGCTGGACCATATAAAAGCACTAAATCAAAATGGTGACAAATCTGTGCCTATTACTGTGGATTTTGTTAGAATAAAAAACTACTGTGTAAGCAACTTTCTTTTCCTTGGAAAATTGACTCTCCTTCAAAATTGACAATCTTATTCAGATTGACATTCTGAATACTGGTAGTTTACATGAAAACTCCACAAAAATTGAGTTTATGCATATATCCTGTTCAAAGCAACTTAATTTATTACATACTGAAAAGCAACTGATTTACCGATCTGCCCCAATGATCAGATGGATATTGTATATTCACTGGAATTAACATATAGCAGAACACTGAACATGACAAAGCCTGGGTCAGGTCTCCCAATGTCTTCCTCTCCAGCCCAAAGCTTCCATACAGGTTCTACTCTGTCTTTACCATGGCACCCTTTGGTGGGAGGGAGTATGGAGAGGAGTTTAGCATCAGAGACTTGCTATTGTCTCTCTCTGCATTATTTTTTTTATTCTTACAGATAATATTGGAGAGATGTTTTTTCATAATCTATGTGTTGCGGAACAGGTATCTTTTGCCTGAATCAATCGTAGTTGGCCTGAGCCAACTACTGTAAAGCAATGACTTTTGCTATTTTTTTCTGTTTTTTCTTCTCCCCTCTTTGAAGGCTAGAGCTCTGTGCACTGATCAGAATTTACCCCATGCGAAATACAACAGTTTACAATCCTATAAATGTTTAATGGAATTCTAAAATAAATCTGCGGTAACAAAACAGCTAAAAGCAATGATGTCTATTCCATGAATATGGATGTACTCTTGTTCCATGCAAACATCTTCACTTTCTCCTCCTGCTCTCAGCAGCTTAAAAGCTGTTTTACACAGCACTCCTTCAGTAAAGTTGCAAGTGTCATTTGATAGGCAAAAAGCAAGAGCAGCACACCATTCATACACATACAAGATAATACTTTTGAGCATGTTTTATGTGACTTCCCTCTCTTCTTTCTCCTAGAATGATTCACCTACAGAAAAAATCAGTATTGTTGGAGAAGAACTGTCTACGCTAAATGGGAAGGTATGAATTAGCATCTTCAGCTTTTAAGGGGAAAGAACAGTTCTTGTGTATCTTCCAGGAAGTCCATCTTTACGAAGAATTAGATACTACATATTTACAGCCACTTAACACTGGTTTAAAATGCCATGCTTTGAAACAGAGAGTAATTCCCACTGATCTCAGTGGAAACTTAACGTGATCAGTACTGAATGCTTTTAAAGGTCCTATTCCACTTTTTATCCCACAGCCCCCAGAAATGAACCATCTTAAACTGACTTATGTAGTATGGTTTTAGAATGCTATTGCTATACATAGAATAATATATAAAACCTGACGTAGGTGGCTTTCTCAAATATTTTATGCTTCTATAAATACTTACAGAATGACTCTTCAGAAAGTACTAAAATAATGTAAGTAAAGTGACAAGCTCCTTTGAAAATCAGTTGCAACTTACTTGTAAATGAACTTTTTAAGGCAAACTTTTCCTGGCTGTATAATTCACTGAATGTTGTTATGTAAATATTTTCTTTTCTTTCTTTCCCTACATGATCTTTTCCAGAATGTGGAGAGGAAAGGAGAGATTGGAGGGGCGGGGGGGGACACAACACAACATGGACTTCTTTCTCCCCATTTTGCAAGTTAATACCTATTGCATATAAAACAACAATTAATTATGTTACTGTGCTGCCAGGGTTGCTGACTGGTTTTTATGCTTTAAAATAATCCACTGACAGTCTGTTTTTTCTTTCAGACTCAGAGGATAATTTATTTTTTTCTCTTTCAGGACATTATTGAGACTGGAAGAACAATGAAAGCGCTACTTTCAAAACTAAAAGACAACAAACCAAAGATGGTAAAAGTTGTAAGGTATAATGATATGGCCACTTACTAATGTATTGTAACGAGAAGATATAGCAAAATCATTTAGGTGAATAGTTAGTGTATGCTGATGGGTGTTTGGTTTTTGTTTGGTTTGAAGTTTGAGGGAAGAGGAAGTAAAAGCAAGAAGCAATCCTTGTCCAGCTGGTAAAAAACTAAGTATTTATTAAACTGGGAAACTTACATACATACTCATTTTAACAATGAAGGTGGTAATGCATAAAAAAGGTTTCCTGGTTCTTTTTGCATAATCCATAAAGTCTGATGGATTCCCTATTTCCTATCTCCTTATGACTGAAGGAAATTCAGCTCTTTCCATAGGTTTCCTAACACCTTCTCAGTTGCCTCAATATTAGAATGACAACACTCAGAATTTTTCTTAATATCCTCAGTCATACAGGTTTTCAGAATCTAAGAGTTTGTCAGCACTTACTTTTATGTACCAGTTATGCTCCTCCCAGTGAATATCCAGGAGCTTCTCAGTTTCTTCAGAAGTGCACAGGAAAAGCAAGAATGAGTATGACTTTGTGGAAGAAATTGTAGCGACATTGCAGTTTGTCCTCTTCTCCCTGCCCCTGCTGCCCCCACTAAAATCTTTACATGCCACTTGAACTTGCCTACCTGTCTGTGCTATTCTAGTTTGCTGATACATTGCTACATGAAAAAAATAATTATTTGGGGCACAGAATTGAAGAGAACTGAACATAAAACAATAGTGTCATTTGGACCTTCAGAATGAACCTAGATCAGACCCTTTGCTTCTTCCTCAATTATAAGGCTGAACACTACTTCTTTCTGTTACGGTAATCTCATTGTTTTAATTTAACTGCATGATTGTAGAAGCTTATGGGGGGGGGAGGTGGGAGAAGTGAAGTATACAGCTTAGAGCAAGACATATTTTAAAAAACATAACCTTCCTTGCTCTGCCTTACAGCCTGCTCATTAAAAGGACACATCGAAGTCCAGGTTACAGACCAGACTGTAAGTATCGTGTTTTTCTGGTTGTCCAAAATACAATCTCATAACTTCACTTCATGCAGTAAGTCTGAAAGCTGGCATATAAGTTTCAGGAAGGCCAAGAGAAATGGGGAGAAAATACATAAAAACTTGTAAAGTGATGACCAGCTATCCCATGCTGAAACCTCATGACAACCTTCCCCCCCGCCTCGGTTGGTCTGAGTGCAGGTTTGGCTATTTGTTACCAGATACCAGAAACAGAATCAAACCTTAACTTTTTTTTGTTTGACTTTGACACTAAAAGGCACTTGTTTTGATGCTGCATTACACTTGCCTCGTTTTCAAACTGAAAATCCCTACTGAGTTGCAGTGCATCATGAGACTACCTCATAAGTAGGTTTTCAATAATTATTTTGTTCTTAAAATACATTGTCTTAACATTTTAATTGTACTACTAACTGATGGGGATGGTATAGATTCTAACCTCCGTCATCAATTTACGGTTCTGATTCTTAAAGAAGCATGCTAAGTACCTTGAAAGCAAGATGATGTATTTGTTAGGTATTACTCTTAAATAGCTGAAGCATGTGTTGAATACAAACTGTAGTTAAAAGCTATTTACCCCACTCAAGTATAAAAAGAATTGTATTTTGTTACAGATATAGGCTTTGAAATTCCAGATAAATTTGTGGTTGGATATGCTCTTGACTATAATGAATACTTCAGAGATCTAAACGTAAGTACATAAATGTGTGCCTCAACTGTTACATATGCAACTGTTACCACAGGTAACCAGCAAGAATATTAGCTTGTACTAGAAGCTTCTCAACAATTAACAAAACTTCAAATCTGACTAGAAACTTCCATTAAAAGGGCAAAAACATTATTAACATGCCAAGCTGATAATTCAATGTAAATGCATAAGAACTTGTTTATGCCCTACCTTTTTATGAATCTACTTCACAAGTCTCGCGGCCCAGCCGTGCGGTACAGTATTCTCAATCCTCCAGGATGGCTGGCAGCATACAAGCTGCTGGCCCCATCTGAAAAGAAAGTAACTTCTAATTTTGCTTTGACTTCATATTTGTCTGTCTTAGTGAAATCCTATGTTGCTCTTTTCTAGCCAAGTCTTTAAGATGGCTGTGTGGGGACTGTGTGTGCGAAGGTTTTTCCTACGCTGTATAACATGTTCATCAAGATCTTTTTTTTTTTTTTTTTTTTTTTCCCCTTTGTTCCATTATAGTCTCCTTAGGCTGCACTGAGTAATAGACTTGGAAAGAGCATATGATAGAAATAGCTGATCTCTTTTTTTTTTTTTCCCTCCATAGTTTTCAAAAGCACTTTCTTAAATCTGGTTAAGTGGAAAAGTTTTTCCCTTGAAAGTCTTTTTAGTAAGACAAACCAGTTCTGTTAAAGATGCATAATGGATCTATGCAAAGCAATATGAAGAAGGATACAATAATTGAACAAACCTGATCTCTTCAGAATGTACAAATCTATAAATTACAGATGAGCTTGGAAGCAATATTAACAACTAAATTTTACTGCAAGTAGTAAACTTGCAGCCAAACTTGCAAAGATTACTGTTCCGCTGTGTTTTCCTTACAATGCTAGGAATACGACTGAAAATCATTCTTGCATTTTCTTTGAAGGTAAAGATTAACTAAAGTTTTACCACTCTTTTTTTTTTTTAGCACATCTGCATTCTGAAAGAGAAAGCGAAAGAGAAATATAGGATCTGATAACCTCAGTCTTCTGGAGCAACAGTTCAGTGGCATGTACAGCTGTGTAGATGAATAATAATAAGTAATCTACTAATTGTGCTCTTCACTGAAGAACTACGTTTTCTAAAGATACTATTCTATATATTTTTCCTATAATGATTATGTAGAACAGCTTAAAGGTAAGCAAGTCCAAGATTCAGTGAAACCTGAACAGAACACTGGCCACAAAATGGGTATTATATTCTGCTGGAATCACAGGGGACAGAGTCAGGACATGTACATGTGTATGTAATTATGTTTGGGTTTTATTTACTATATTGTCCTGGTTTTGGCTGGGATAGAGTTAATTTCCTTCCTAGTAGCTGGTACAGTGCTGTGCTTTGGATTCTGCCAGTGAGGAGGTGCACAAGAAGCTGGGAGGGGGCACAGCCAGGACAGCTGACCCAAACTGGCCAAAGGGACATTCCATACCATGGGACGTTGTGCTTGGTATATGAGCTGGGGGGAGTTGGCTGGGGGGCAGCGATTGCTGCGTGGAGATGGGCTGGGCGTTGGTTGGCGGGTGGTGAATGGTTGCATCACTTGTTTTTCCTGGGTTTTGTTCCTCTCTCTATTGTTGTTTTACTTTTCATTACAATTTATTACTTTATTTCAATTATTAAACTGAAAACCCACGAGTTTTCTTACTTTTGCTCTTCTGATTCTCACCCTCATCCCATGGTAGGGGGAGGGTGAGCAAGTGGCTGTGTGGTGCCTGGCTGCTGTCTGGGATTGAACCACAAAGTAACACATCATGTGACTGTATATAAACTGCAGTTACTTTTATATGTGAGCTTGTGTGTGTAAATATATATACACGTACTTTATGTAACAAATAGGCTGAATAAGCATTTAAGGAGCAATTTAAGTCAACTGTACAAAGTGCATACCACATGGAAAACACATTTGGTTCTTTAGCTTAATGCAATGAAAAAAAAGTAAACATTAAGGTAACTACACTGAGATTAGTTCTTATACATTCCATGTAACCTGGCATGCTGTGTCTTGTTTTTTGAGGGAAGAGATCACATGTTGATTGTACCACTGTGGTGTTACTTGAAATGCAGGTGACAGTGATTACTAGCTGTTAAGGCTGGATGATAAACCATTACAGCAGGAAATCACTTCTGCTAGTCATGTCCCTAATGAGAACTGGAAGTTAAATTTTACTGCCCAGAAACTGCACCAAGCTTGAGCCAGTCTCTGACACCTCACTGCTTCCTACCTGCACTAAATAATTAAAATAAGTTCTGAGACCTTGGGCCTTTTTCCCCTCGTAGGGGGAAAAGAGCTAGGCATCTGTTTTCAAGAGGGTCTGTTGATGTCCTTTAGCTTTGGAGAGGCCTGAGCTACAGCTGACCAAGGCTTCGATAGGTGTGCCATGGCGCTTTCCAGAGCCCTCTGGGAGCTGGAGGCTGTCATCTGTCATGTTATCCGACCCTCAAAGCGCCTGACAGGAGGAATACTGGCGCCTGTATGAACAGAACCCTTACCTAAGGCAATGGGAACGGCTCATACTGGAACCCAGCGCCAGCCC